TTAAAAAATAAAATTTTAAAAGAAAGTTTGAACCAACAGTTCAAATTGGATCCGAAACCGTGAATCAATGGTTCACAATCAAAATCAAATCGCGGTTATATATACTTATAGGTGAGAATCATAATAAATACGAAAAAGAACATACACTATTTGTAAATTTTATAATTCTAATTTTAAGTTAATGCTAGTAGTTGTTCTGATTTGAACCTCCGGTTCACGGTTCAGAATCCAATTTTTTTAGTTCACGTTTTTAATAAACTGAAACCCAAATACGGGATTTTGGTTCTGAATCGATCATAATCGAAAAATTATGATTTGATTGCTATAGTGTCCGGTTCAGTTCGAACCAAACCGTGGTCATCCATACGTATAAGCAAAAATTTGTTGAAGAAGAAAAATAAATAAAATATTGAGTGAATTTCATTTTTTGTCCTATTGTTATAGAAGCTTTTCCAATTTTAGTCCACCATAATTATTTTTGCCACATTGCGTCCACTATTATTAAAAGTGTTCCAATTTTAGTCTATTTTAAGATTTTTCGTGGACTAAAATTGGAACACTTTTAATAATAATGGACGCAATGTGACAAAAATAATTATGGTGGACTAAAATTGGAATGCCACCTATAACAGTAGGACCAAAAATAGAATTCACTCTAAAATATTTATTTCAAGGGTAAAAATATCCATTTAATATATCAGGGGAGAAATCGCAACTTTTATAATAATTAAGGGGCTAATGTGGATACATGAATAATTCAGGGGGGAAAAGTGCTATAAGCATATATATAATTTAGAAAAGTGACATTTTCCCTAATAATAATAATAATAATAATAATAATAATAATAATGTCAATACCTTATGGTCTGGCATGAAATGACTTCCAAATGAGAGTTGAGTTCATGGGTTTGAGTTCCAATGGGTGCGGTCTCTTTGTGCTTCGGTAAGTTGAGAAAATATTTATAAACAAATATACTACATTGTAACAGAGTCAGTAGTACTCAAATAATATAATAATAATAATAATAATAATAATAATAATAATAATAAATTATTATTATTATTATTATAATTAAATTACCAGCCAAAAAAACATTTATGACGTGTTTGGTTGGCATGAATTTCAATTCTTTTGCAATGAAATTCAGTATCCATGTCAATTACATTGTTCAATTGGAATGAATTGTAATTTAATTCCCTCAATTCAATGAATTGAAATTCATACTCGCCCCCATCTCCCTCCCCCATGAATTGGAATTCAACCTTAGAAAGGAAGGAAAAAAAATATTTAAATGGCATATTTACCCTTTATTATTATTATTATTATTATTATTATTATTATTATTATTATTATTATTATTAAGAGTAGTAGTAGTAGTAGTCATTAGTACTTAGTAGTACTAAAAAAAAATTTAAAAAAAAAATCTTTCATTCCAATCAGAACTCCTGTTAAAAAAAATGTGTTGAAAACCAGAAATGTGGATATATTGTAGTTGGAGTACAAAATTAGGAGATTACGTGCGCAGCTGACACATTTGACACCACCAAATCAATACAACTTATTTTTCTTGCAATAAATGCCAACTACGAACGTACAATATACACTTCACGTACCCTACACCTACACGGGCTACACGAACGTAGTTACGTACTCATCCATTTTTTCACATCACCTTCTTCTTCTTCTTCTTCTTCTTCTTCTTCTTCTTCTTCTTCTTCTTCTTCTTATTATTATTATTATTATTATTATTATTATTATTATTATTCACGAAAGTTCACAATACATCAATATTTTTCCATCATTTCACCGTCAAATTCTGTCATTGAGTTGTATCCTAGTGTCAATCAAGATACAAGGATCTTTCCATATATTTTACAACATTTAGAAATGCTAACAGGTCAAGCGAAATTAAGCAGGATTGAACACAGAATATAGATAATTAAAAAAATAACAAATAAATAGTTTCAATATAAACTTTTTAAATTTTTAATAAAGATGAAATGCATAATCTAGCCTTATGTAGATTTAATTGATTATAAAGAGGATAATGAGCGTCATTTCAATATTATTTCATACCAAAAAACTTTTATGCAGTGTGTGCATAGAAAAAAAAAAAAAAAAAAAAAAAAAAAGCAAAATGAATAACAATTATGATGAAGATGAATCACTGCATTTGGATGCAAACAAAAGAAACATGGGATTAAGCCAAATATATCTCAGCTTTGATTTTTTCTTTTTTTTTTTTTTTTTTTTCTTTTTCTGATCTGTTTTCCTCAATGCTCCATGAGTATGGAAGATGATCACATATACAACGACATCCAAAAAGAGAAGACCTAGCCAACTACAATCCTAGATCCTTAAACCCCTTAACCTAATTACACAATCCTTGCTACCAAATTAAAGTCTAAAACTTTTTTTTTTCCTGATAAATATATATAATGTTTTCAGTACTCCTCAAAACAAGCACCAATGTACAGTGTCAGCCGACAATTATCGTTGTCGTGGTCGTCGATCTTCATGGCTACCCTAGAAGCTAGAAGATGGAGGAGGTTGATGATCGTTCATGACCACCCATGTTGTCACCTTAATTTCCTCAAAAACCAAATTAAAAGTAGAGCAAAGAAGAGAAGAGAAAAGAAAAATAAATAAATAAATAGATTTTGGGTTCTAGCTAGGGCAACGAGGAGGAAGTAGTCAAACTTTGAAGCCCAATTTCGTTGTGTTTTCTGGAGGGACCGGAGGCCGGAATGGGGAACCTCTTGGGCAAGAAGTTGACGAAGTGGCCGCCGGAGCTCCGGTGAGTTCCGGGGCCGATCTTGAACACATTGACGCCGCTTCTGGAACCCACACAGCAACTCAAACTAAAGCTGAATATCAAAGCCAAACAAAGAAGCAGACCCAGACATCCTCTTCCGGCGCTGCAGCGCATGATCAACGACGACATGTATGTATTTTGAGGAAGAATTGAAGGGATCGGAGAGAGAGAGAGAGAGATTTGATTATTTTAAGGAGGAAAATGATGAGATGTTTGTTGTAGCGGTAGTAGTGGCCTGGGAAAGAAGGCTTTTAGAAAGGGTGATTTAATTGGATGGGTTAGAAAGGCAAGGCCGGGGAAGAAAAGGAGTGAATGACAGATTGACAGAAGAGAGAAGAGAGAGTTGTTTTCTTGTGTTTGTCAAATGGGTAAGAAAAGAAAGAGAAAATGAAGATCGAAATGGTGTGGTGTGTAGGGTTATGTCATGTTATGGTTAGGTGAAGGTTTGGTCCCGCGGTACCGCATTAATGTCCGTCCAACTAAACCCATTTCCCACTCCCCAGGCCAGGCCACCCTTTTACGACCCAATCTTCACTTTACGTTTATGTTTGTTACTCCAACATATACACATATATCTATATATCTTCGTCCCACGTACGCCAACTCCAATCGTTATACTCGTCCACAGTGCGTCCTATACACCGTTTTGAACTTTAATTTTAATGGCGATCGTTTGTTCAGTTCATCACGTTATAATTTTTTTTTTCTTTTTACTGTAAAGCATGTGTATGTATATTATGTTATACGTTTCTTTACATCATGTTATGCAATTTTGTACATTAAGCGTAAGGATTTTGTACCTGAAATCGATTAGTAGTTGTATAACACAAAATATATTGTGTGTCTTATTTTACGAATTTATGTCTTGTATTATAAAATTATGTGCCTATAGGACATAAATTATTTACTTAAATCAGATTTCAAAATAAAATAGAAAACATGTGTATGTATCTCGTGTTATGCGTTTCTGTACATCATTTTACGCAATTTTGTACATTAAGCATAAGAATTCTGTACCTGAAATATATTAAAATTTGTGTTGAAACATGAGAAACGAGAAGTTACGGAGTCTGTTAAAGCTTAAACATCAAACGACGTCGTTTTGATCCCGGATCCACAATGTTATGTGGACCCTGGTCCATGGTATAAATTGTCCGCCAACTCCATCTCCTCTCTCTTTCTTTATCAAGCTAGCTCACTCCCTTTTCATTACCATGAGATTAAAATAGTCAGAACAATGATCGTGTTCAAATTTACTAGATATATCTCATTTTTATTATGTTGATGAAGTGATGCAAGCTGAATATGGTGAAGTGGTGCATCATGCTGTATGGACACAAGCTGCAACAACACAAGCTTTCCAGAGAAGGGCTTTTAAGTCTTTTCACACCTTAGTTAGTTATAACCGTTTTTGGTTCCTTCTTATAGTGCTTTCCTTCTTCTTCTTCTGAATGTAATGCTACATACATATCCTTCCATCTTTCCAGTTGACATCTCAATCAATGCTTCCTCTTTTCCCTTTCACCTTGTTGTTCATATGATCCAAGATAACTCATCATGGTATCAGAGCTTCGCAGAAGCTACGCCGGAGCCGTAATAGTGGGAGCAGACGGCAACGGAAATGGATCGGAACATGCAAGAGCAGGAGCCTCCTCAGCTTCAACCAATCATACACGGTGAAATGATGATTTTGATGACCCGCTGTACTTACACATTACGGAAAATCCGAACTTATGCCTTGTTTCACCTCCATTAACCGAGCTCAACTACTCATCTTGGAGTAGATCAATGAGGATAGCCCTGGAGGTTAAGAACAAGTTCGAATTTGCGACTGGGAGCATTCCGAGTCCAGCAGAGAATGATCCGAAGATCGGATCATGGAGGAGATGCAATCGCATTGTGAGTTCATGGATTTTGAAGTCCATCAGTCCTAACATAGCAGAGAGCGTAATGTACTTCGATAAAGCCTCGGATATATGGAGTGAACTACAGAAGAGGTACTCACAATCTGATTCACACAAGATCTCTGAAGTTCAGAATCAAATTTTCAGGAGTGTTCAGGGAAGTATGACAGTGAATAAATATTTTACCAAGAGCAATGTTCTTTGGCAACAGATGAATGCTCTAAGGCCCTTATTGATGTGTGAATGTGTGCCTAAGTGCTCCTGTACTCTAATGAGTAGAATGCAGAAGCAAAGAGAAGAGGATTATGTGATCCGATTCCTAGAAGGTCTGAATGAGGATTATGAAACCATTAAGTCTGGAGTATTGGTTATGGATCCAATTCCAGAAATGGAGAAGGTGCTCAATATGACCTTGAAAGTTGAGAGGAAGATCAAAGGCTTTATCAGTCAGAAGTGCAATGACTTAATCCAATCCAATGCAGTTTACAATGATCAGACTCAAACTGCAGAGGAACATCCATTGTTGGCAGTAGCAGCATCCAACAACAGAAAGAAATTCACAGGCAATGGAGGGAAAAATGTTCCAAAATGTACCTTCTGTGGCATGCTTGGGCATACAGTTGAGAAATTCTATAAAAAGCATGGCTATCCCCCAGGGTGGGTTGCAGGTTATAAGTCCAAGAATAAACAAGTTCAGGACACACAACACTCTTCAAATGCAGCTGTAAACCAAGCAGGTGATATAGGGATTTCTGCTGATCAGTTTCAAAAGCTTCTTTCTCTTTTGCAGAATCAAAATAAGGGGAATCAATCTTCTAGCAATGCTGCTGTGACTATTGCTGGTTCAGGAGTCAAACCTAGCTTCAAAGACTCCGTGGAGGCTCCCAGTGAAGGTAGAACTACCTCCAATCCTTCTCTTAATGTTGTAATGAATACAGATGATTTTTGGATAGTGGACTCAGGGGCCACAGACCATATTACCTGCTCATTAGATTATTTTGATGCATATGAGAGGGTTCAGGGAATATCTGTTAAGCTACCTAATGGGGAGATTGTGAGTGTAACTCACATTGGACAGATAAGGCTTAATCAGAATATCCTGTTGACAAATGTGTTGTACATTCCATCTTTTACCTTCAACATTATCTCTGCAAGTAAATTGACGAAGCAGTCAGGCTGTAGATTGGTTTTAGAAGCTGATTCTTGTGCTGTCCAGGCTCATCTTGGAACAATGGATGGTTTTGCTAGGCAGAGAGATGGATTATACTTGGTCAGTGATCCTCCTGTTAAGAAGAAAGCTCATTCTCCTATTCTAAATGAGTTCCAGTGTAATTCCTTGTCTTTAGAAGTATGGCATAATAGATTGGGTCACTATCCCATCAATAAGATTTCTGTTTTGAATGGAATAAAACATACTGCTTCTCATAAATGTGATGATTTAGTTTGTGATGCCTGTCATTTTGCTAAACACAGAAGATCTTCTTTCCAACTAGCATGTCCAGGTCTGAGCATTGTTTTGACCTTATCCACATGGATGTCTGGGGTCCTTTTGCTATGGCATCTCTCAAAGGAGAACACTATTTTCTAACCATTGTGGATGACCATAGCAGGTTTACTTGGTTGCATATGATGGCAAGTAAATCAGAAGTCAGGACTATATTTCAAGACTTTTATAATCATGTTTGCACTCAGTTTTCAGTCAAAATTAAAACCATAAGGACTGATAATGGTACTGAGTTCTTAATGAGAACTTTTCGTAATGAAAAAGGCATAGTTCATCAAAGATCCTGTGTGTATACTCCCCAACAGAATGGGGTGGCAGAGAGGAAACACCAACACATATTGAATGTAGCTAGGTCCTTGAGGTTTCAATCAGCCTTACCTATGAATTTTTGGGGTCACTTTAGTTTGCAGACTTGATCAGGTGTGTCACTCTCAAAACCTGGAGGCAACACCATATAGACTTCCTCATCAAGATCACCATGCAAGAAAGCATTATTGATATCAAGTTGTTGAATGTCCCAACCCTTGATAACTGCCAAAGCTAGAAAAGTCTTGATAGTAGTCATCCTAGCTACAGGAGAGAAAGTGTCAATATAATCCACCCCAAACTGTTGAGTATAGCCTTTTGCAACCAACCTTGCCTTATACCTCTCTATTGAGCCATCTGATTTGTGTTTCACCTTGTAAACCCACCTACAACCAATTGGTGATTTTCCAGTAGGCAACTTTGTAAGGGTCCATGTGTCATTCTGAATTAGGGCCTCTATCTCAGCTTGCATAGCCTTCCTCCATGCCTCATGTTGTACTGCTTCATGGTAGGACTGTGGCTCATGTGCAGAAGTAATAGAAGAAACACAAAACTTGTGAGCAGAAGACAACTTGTCATAGGAATAATGCTTTCTTGCATGGTGATCTTGATGAGGAAGTCTATATGGTGTTGCCTCCAGGTTTTGAGAGTGACACACCTGATCAAGTCTGCAAACTAAAGAGGTCCTTATATGGTTTGAAACAGGCTAGTAGGCAATGGAATGCCAAGCTAACAAAAGCCCTACAAGTTGATGGTTTCCAACAGTCCTCTGCTGATCCTTCTTTATTTACCAAAGCTGTGGACAACTCATTCATAGCTTTGCTTATATATGTAGATGACATTCTGGTGGCAGGAACAGACTCAAAGCAAATACAAGGTCTAAAACAGATGTTGGATGACTCTTTCAAGATTAAAGATCTTGGCCAGCTCAATTACTTTCTGGGAATTGAGGCTATTAGGAGTCCTAATGGTCTTAACCTGTGTCAAAGAAAATACACCTTGGACATCCTACAAGAAAATGGCTTTCTTGATGCTAAGCCTGCAAAGACACCATGCTCTCAGAGCCACAAACTTACAAGTACTGATGGCATTCTCCTGCATAAACCTGAAATTTTTAGGAGATTAGTTGGTAAACTTCTATATTTGACTAACACAAGGCCTGATATTGCCTATGCTGTCCAACAGCTATCTCAGTATGTGGATAAACCAAGGGATACACAACTAGCAGCAGCTCATAGGGTATTAAGATACCTCAAAGGCTCCCCAGGCAAAGGGCTGTTCTATTCTTCTGCTTCTCAGATCAAGCTGCAAGGTTTTTCAGACTCAGATTGGGCAAATTGCACAGAAACAAGGAAATCCATAACAGGCTACTGCATTTACCTTGGCAACTCTCTTGTTTCATGGAAGACAAAGAAACAAGCCACAGTTTCAAAGTCTTCATCTGAGGCTGAGTATAGGGCATTAGCCTCCACATTTTGTGAAATACAATGGCTTATATATCTCCTAACAGACTTGAATATACAATGCAGTAGCCCTATTGCCTTGTTTTGTGACAACAGATCAGCTGTGGCAATAGGGGAGAATCATGTCTTTCATGAAAGGACAAAGCACATATAAATTGACTGCCATATAGTCAAGCAGAAAGTCCATCAAGGAGTCATAAAGCTGATGAGCATTCCTTCTCATAAGCAGATAGTTGATGGATTTACCAAACCTCTGCCTATTGCTCTATTTGAAACTTTTCATGCTAAGCTGGGCCTTCAAGATCTTCATGCTCCAGCTTACGGGGGGGGGGGGGTGATGAAGTGATGCAAGCTGAATATGGTGAAGTGGTGCATCATGCTGTATGGACACAAGCTGCAACAACACAAGCTTTCCAGAGAAGGGCTTTTAAGTCTTTTCACACCTTAGTTAGTTATAACCGTTTTTTGTTCCTTCTTATAGTGCTTTCCTTCTTCTTCTTCTTCTGAATGTAATGCTACATACATATCCTTCTATCTTTCCAGTTGACATCTCAATCAATGCTTCCTCTTTTCCCTTTCACCTTGTTGTTCATATGATCCAAGATAACTCATCATATGTCAAGTGAATATATAATATAGATATTAATAAGATTATATGGCAGTTCAATTGACTCATTAATAACCCAAACAATAAGTTTAGCAGACGCTTAAGTAGACCTGACAATTATGGATATGATTCATTAACACGACTTGAAACTTGCTAACAAAACGTGTCTATCGTGTCAACCCGTTTAACCCGTTAACAAATCGTGTTCGTGTTAAAAATTTGAACCCGTTAACCATAACGTGTCGTGTTCGTATTTAGCCTTATCGTGTTCGTGTCGTTATCGTGTCGACCTGTTAACGAACCCGTATACACGAATTGCCAGGTCTACGCCTAAGAGCCAAATCCATCAAAATCTTCCCAATTAACTTATGGGGGAAGTTTATGTTGATTTGCTCACAGGGAATAATTCAAAATTTCTTGAGCAATTTGTGAATGTGTTGTCTAAGCGATTTGCACTTAAGGATCTTGGACCGCTGCATAATTTTTTGGGTGTTGATGTTGTTCCGACTACCTCTGGTTTATTTTTGTCGTAGGCACAATATATTTCTGAAATCATGGCTAAATTTAAGATGGATGTTGCGAAGGAGGTTTCTACACCCATGCATGCTTCAAATACTTTACCGCAGGCTACTTCCTCATATACTGTGGATGCGTCTAGTTTCCGTTGTTTGATTGCACTATTGCAATACTTGGGGATTACAGGACCAGATGTTTCTTTTGCTGTTAATCGTCTCTCTCAGTTCATGCATGCTCCTACAGCTTCTCATTGGTCAGCTGCAAAACGGATCTTGCGCTACCTCAAAGAGATGATGTGCCATGGTTTGTTTCTAAAAAGTGGTTCATCTCTTGACTTGATAGCGTTTTCCGATTCAGATTGGGGTGGTTCTTCTACCTCTGGTCGTTTTACCACAGCTTACATATTGTATCTTGGCAGCAATATTATCTCTTGGAAATCCACACGTCAAAAGTCAGTGTCTCGTTCTTCTACGGAAGCCGAGTATCGCGCTCTGGCTAATGCTGCTGCAAAGATATTATGGATTCAGAACCTGCTACGCGAATTGAGAAATCCATTATGTCGTCCTACTGTGTTATTTTGTTAAAATCTTAATGCCACTTATGTTTGTCAGAATCTTGTTTTCCACTCCTGAATGAAACATCTATCATTAGTTTTTTTTTTTTTTGTTCGTGAGTTGGTAGCTAATGGGGCCTTGGTCGTTTGACATGTGTCTTCGAAGTATCAAATTGCTTATATCCTTACAAAGCCTTTGGGGCGTGCCTTGATTCAACATTTTCATTTTTACCCTTCTACCAAGCCATTTTATTTTCAGCTTACCCTAGGGTTTTGTGCCCTACTATTTAAACATCCTTAGTGTAGCTTTGTCTCCCCATTCTCCCATTTGCTTATTCATTCATTCATCAGAGAACATCTAGCTAGCTTAGGAGACTCATGTTTTGGCAGTAAGTTTCTTCTCCCTTCTTTTCTTTCTTCTTCTTCTCCTTCATTTCTTCTCTCCCTAGTTTCTAATCACAGTAAATGTGTATGTATATATGTGTTGTGGGTTGTGTGATCTTGAAGTCCTAGATGGGGAAGGAGGAGAGCAAGTTTGAAGTTATAGAGGATGAATTCTTGCTTGTTGAGGCTAGAAGCTTGAGGTATAACCCATGGAAACCCAAAACCTAGCTATTTACCCATAAAATCTGTGAATGTTTGTTACATTTTTATATGTTGATGTTTGATGCCTGATATTGTTGAAATGTGTAGTGTTTTATTGTTTATATGATGTGGTTTTGATGCCTTGTTGCTATAATGATGTTATGTGATGTTTGGGTGTATTGCGAGGTTTGAAAATGGAGGTTCTCGCCATGTTTGTGTTGCAGGGAAGTTTCTTCCTCATCCTCGAGTTTGGCCTAACGGAGCCAACCAACGGATCCAAGTGGGATCTATTGGAAAGCTTCGCTAGAGGGCGGAACTGAGTGGCGGACCTTCTCGTGATTCGCCACTCAGCGCTGTGTCTTGATGGAAGCAAGTGACGGAGCCCTTCAAGCCCCGTCACTTAGCTCCGCCAGGTCATTGTGTGGGCAGGGCCCTTTGAGGCTCAGCCCAGTGTTGGTCGTTCCAGATCGGGAATCGTGGCCCCGTGAGGCTCGGAGACTCGGGACCATTACGAGATGTTTGTATGAAATGTGCTTATTTGATTTGTGAGTAAAATCCATTTTCAACCAAAATATGAGGTACTATTTTACTAAGTGTAATTTAGGCATATTTGACTGTGAATATTAAGTATGTGATGACTTTGGTGGTTTATCATGATTTGATGAAGGATTTGCTTAAGTTCTCAACTTATATTACTTAGTTGCATTGAAGAGTGAGTTGGCATGATTACATGACCATTTATGCATGGGTTATTATCCCACTATCACCTATACCCAAACCTATGCTTTAAACTATGTACCTATTTTTGAAAGGCCTATACTAGTGCCTTAAAACTCTTTTTAAAATCTATATATGTACATTCATATTTACTTACATATTCTCTTTAAAAAACATATATGATATTAATGATCTCCATTTTGGAAAAGAATGGTTTTCAAAAGCTTATACCACCCTATTTTCAAAGTATGAGGAAAAATATATATTTTTGGAGGACCCGATTGGACTACGGTCCCTTCGGCAGAAATGATGGAATGAAATGATGAAAAGAAATGATGAGGTGAGATCCGTTTGAGAATTCCCAGAAGGTTACTTGAAAAGAAATGATGAGGTGATATGATGAGAAAGAATGATTGAGAATAATTGATAATGATTGAGATTGATATGAGTTTCCTCCAATATTATTATAAAATCTATTTTCTTGAGCGTGAGAGTATTGATATAAATGATATACGATATATTTGGAAAACCATTTTTACTATGATACCCCATTTACTTATAATTATGAAAATGCACTTATTTTTTAACCTATTGAGGTTACTTATAATGGTGGTATAAAGCTAGTATTGTACATGATGGTTTTAATGAAATCGGGTCCACCATAAACCGAGTATACAATACGCAACTGAAGGAATTGACGTATTATTACCCAGGGCGCAAGGCCTGGTAAGAGCGCGAGCAAGCCCAACGAGGGGCCCGATGATAAGCCCAAGACGATATTACAAAGGGGATACGCTACAGGATAAGGGTGTAAGATTTTCCCTAATAATATATATTATATATTATATATTAGGGCCTTAATTAAGTGGTGCAAGTTGACTAGGCTTATTAAGTGGTCTGGTTGGACTTAATAACTAGTAGTTGTTAGTCAACCAAACTCTGTGCCTAATATAACCTGGATTGATGGGATACAGGATTATGGATTAGATAGCACATTCAGTTACGGTACTCAGACCGCTCAGTAGATACCGATACACCATCTAGGGTTCTGAGTCAGGTCTGAGACAAAACATGGCTGACGGTCTACCGTTAAGAGGCAACACAACAGGAACATCAACTATGGCTGGAGATCAACACGGCTACGCTTCCGCTATCATACGAGGTTAGGTTTCTCGTATACTATGGTTTATTATAGTTAGACTATTTAGATCTAACATTTGGTATCAGAGCCTTTATAATCTCTGTCTGGTTGATTGTTTTGCCTAAAACAATATTAAGTTAAGCTTTCATATACATCAAGTTTTTGTATATGTTTCATATATTAATTTGTTGAAATATACATACAAAATATATCAATTCAGTAATGATATAATTAAGCAATTTAGTATGTATGTTTTGAGTGAATTAATTAGTATTGATACTGCCTTAATTAATCTTAAGAGCCTAAAGCATAATTTTGAAATTATTTTCAACATTGTTAATCTTTACCACTGCCATGTTTTACCAATGAGCCGGTAATATGTCGTCGGTATTTTTGGGACTCTGGTTGTTCAATGGCTGCTAGGGTTAATCAAGAAGAAGATGGTGATGGATAATATTTGGGCCGGGTCAGGCCCATTGGGGCAGACCTGGTCCAATACTATTTAAAAAAAAAAAGCATCTTGGGCCTATTTGGTTTGTTATTTTAGGTTTGCTTTAGTTGATCCATCATCATATTTAGACTTCTTCTAGCTTAATTGTTCAGTTTAATTCCTCATTAATTTATTATTAAATTATCATTTAAATTTGGGCAAATATTAAGTTTTAAATTTGCTATTTGAATTTTAATTTAATATTAAAGTGTATATATTAAATTGCCTGAAGTATTGCAATTTATTTAGGATATATGGGTTAATAATATATTAATATACAAATCCAAACTTGCTACGTATATTCATAAATTATTGTTATAATTATACATTCTTAATAGCATGTATTAAAGTTGGATTTAGCATATTATTAACTCATAAATTCATTATTAAAATATCACTCAATTTTGGATCCTTAGGTCAATTTGAAGCATTATGGCCTATTAAGGTAGCTTGTTTTTGGTTTCCCCTTAATTTTGAACTCATTTTAGTTTTATGTGTCTCTGGGACTTTAGAACCTATTTTGAACAAGCTATTTGGGACCTATCTTGGGTCATTAAAGTATGGATCCTACCTTTTTGATTAATATTTTAATAATAATTATAGCTCCTTATAACATGTTTATTAAATTTTAATTATTACTAACTACTATATTTTAGTATTCATCGTTGGTAATAATATTAAGTTTTGGATCTACTTCAGTATTAGACCATTTTCCATCCATGTTATAATTCACTTGGGCCATTGAGATTTATGAGCCTAATTTGAGTGATTAGGTGCTATAATTATTGTCTTGGGCTGTTTTGAGACATTAAGGATTTAATGATTTAATTGTTATTTTGGCCATTAAGAATTATTACAAACTATTATTTAAGTTGATTAATTTTTAGGGCCTTATGGCAAAAGCAATATAGTTGGTATATTGTCTATATAATGGTAATTTGGTTATTACCTTAACTTTAGTCTCCCTAAGTATCATAATAGTCATGATTAATTATTATGTGATAAAATTGAGATTAGTATTTGACATCCCTTAATTACAGTTTTGCCACTTATTAAGCTAAATTCGGCATTATTAATTACTGTTATTAAGTTTAGGGGCTAATCTCATTTTATTACTTTTCATAATAATTATCATTTCATGGTAATCTGCTATATTTGGTACATTGGCATGATTACCACTTCATTTTACATGACTATTAATGTTGGTAATTAAGTCTTACCAATAAATTTTTTAACGTAACATTGGACGCTGCATCGAGTTTATTGACACCGATAGTGAAGATTGGGAGAATTCTGGAGTTTTTCTTCTCTTGTGGATCATCATCGTTGTTAGCGCAATGGAGAGATGCGGTTTGCATCATTAAGGTTAACCATTAATTATCTTTTACGGTTATTTTTGATAATTAGTGCTACAGTTATAGTTAAACCGCTAATTTGGACTAGTCACATATTTTATATTTAGAAAAAGGAAAACATTTAAAGGTGCATTACCATACTTTACTTTGTCGTTATTATTAATGTTAATAGTGATTATAATGTTACTTATTACTATTAATAATTAATGATTAATGATGACGTTAGTAGTTTTATGGTATTCAGATGTGTACCTTGAACTGTTTCCAAATAAATTTATGTGATAATACTCCAGTTCAGAAAATAATTTTCTGGACATTAATATTTTTCGGACTTCAAATTTTATTAAGTTTTCAAAATTTTATCTGAAAACATTTATAAGTGTTAGCGGTTTTGACCATTATTTTTCCATATTTAGTCTCCTACTTAATGTGATAATATTATTATGGCTATTTATTGCTATTTTGGTTATTTGCAATTTTGCCATTAATAATAATAATATTATCAACTGGGTTATGGAGAGTGATTTTGAATCAATTTAGTAATCTTGGATAAACATATTTTCTAGGCAATTGACTTTTGCCATTAATTCCATAATTCATTTAGTTCTTGGAATTATGATTTTAGTTCTGATTGCCCATGTTTGGTTAAGTATGAATATTTGGTATAAATTCATATTCTTTAGTTGGTTCATACTTTTTAGATTGTGTTATGCATTCGATCACATTAAGTGCATAATATTAAG